TCATGACAACAGGAGGGGTGCATGCTAGGCAGGGGGTCTCTGGGGTTGAGGTGCATGTTAGGCAGGGGTCTGTGCGGGGTTGGTGGGGTGCATGCTAGGCAGGGGGTCTCGGTGGGGGTGCGATGCTAGGCAGGGGGTCTCTGGGGAGGTGGGGTGGCATGCTAGGCAGGGCGTCTCGTGGGGAGTGGGGGTGCATGCTAGGCAGGGGGTCTCGGTGGGGCTGCATGTTAGGCAGGGGGTCTGTGCGGGGTTGGTGGGGGTGCATGCTAGGCAGGGGGTCTGTGGGGGTTGGTGGGGGTGCATGTTAGGCAGGGGGTCTCTGGGGGTTGGTGGGGGTGCATGTTAGGCAGGGCGTCTCTGGGGAGTGGGGGTGCATGCTAGGCAGGGGGTCTCTGGGGGGTGGGGGTGCATGTTAGGCAGGGCGTCTCTGGGGAGTGGGGGTGCATGTTAGACAGGGGGTCTGTGGGGTTGGGGTGCATGCTAGGCAGGGGGTTGCTGTAGGGCGGGGGTGGCAGTCAGGTGCCGGGACTGTGCTCAGCTCCATGCCTGCTGCTCTCTGCAGCCCAAGGGGAATCCCTTGGGGTGAAGGCAGAAGTGAAAGGGTGAGTCCTCAAGCACCGGTGGGTGACGCCATCCCCAAGACTCTCCCTCCCCTGTCTCTGCCTGTTCCTGGAAGTCCTGTGACTTCCTCTCTGCAGCTCTCCTGAGCTGCGGGCGTAGTTCTAAGTGGCTGTGGTGTATAAATAGCCCATGTTTATTCCTGGCAGGGGAGTGGGGCTGCAGGGAGAAGCCGGGATTTTCCCAGGGCTCAATGGTAAGGAGTTGCTGGGAGGATGCCTGGAGGTTAGAGACAAGTGTAGCCCATCTGTGTTTGTGCAGCGCCCGGCGCAGGGGGCTCCTGCTCTGTGACCTCTCTCTGGTGTCTGTCTGAGCCTGTAGGGGTCGCACTCCATGTCATGTAGCTTTTCTCCCCAAAAACCGCAGGCTAGAACTTCCCTTTTGTAAAGTGTGCAAGCCGAGCTCCTCCCCTCAGCCCGTGACTCCGGGAGCTGGGGGGTTATGGGACATCCCTCCACCTTGGCCCATCTCTCTGGGGGGCTGTGGAATTAGCAGGGAGCTGTTCTGCAGCTGCCTGTAGCAATTGCTCTGATGCTGAAGGATCGGCAGATGGTTCGATAATGTGTGGACCCTTTGGATCCACCTGTAGCAAAGCGCAGGTGGGACTGACCAGGAGCCAGTTCCCGTCCCGCTTCGGCTCTTCCCCAGTGTCTGTAAATGCCGAGTCACTGGAACAGGTTTTCTGTTTATGCAAAGGGGAAACACCAAGCCAGAGCCTGGTGTCCTATTTCCGTTTCATCAAAACATTTATAGGGAAACACCATTTCCCCCCCACACCCTGGCTGTTTCC